AGTAGAGATATAAGTATGGCCACTGATCCATTTATGTTAGCCGTTGATCCTTATAATTTATAAGTCTTGCTTAGAGTACAAAGCTTGATGTCCCAGCTGTTTGTTTGGGCTCCTGCAGGAGCAGCACAGGTGGAGAATTTCTCAGTTCAAGAATGAATTCGTGTTATGAGGCAACTTCCCTGAATCATATAAGTCTGATGGCCCCTATAACTGCTTTGCATTACATGACTGTTGATGGCATGTGAGCACCCGCTTAAATGGGGAGCTGGAAAATAGGTAGCCTGTATACGAGGCAATCTAATCATTTGAGATCAGATCTATGCAGTCATAATCAGCATTTCTTGCTGGCTTGCATGACCACTTATAAAATTTTGGGTTTGAGAAGTATGTTTGGAGGAGGTAGGGGGAGAAGTGTTTTTGAAAAGCAGGTAATGATTCCCAAACGTACTTAGGTAGATTTTCTGAAACCTCTTCCCTTCCGATGTGCTGTTTTATCTGGTGTTCTGTCCTGTCATTATGAAACAGAAAAAATTTTATCAGCCAAAGATTTCCAGCTTAATATGACAAGCCTTATGGATAGCATAGTAAGAAGTAAAGTAATTGGTTGATAAAATGCCATGGCAGGGACAGGGTGTAGATAGATGAAAGGTGGAATGCTTGTTTCATGAGATGTTTGATATCTACCAGGAGACTGGCTTTCACTGTTGTATTCTGGAGTGGGCAAATGGTATAACTTGTGCTAGTCTAATGAGGAGCACAAATTTCATTGGAGGTACTGTGTTTTTTTTCTTCTGATAGCATTAACACATCTACGTAATATGTCCAAAAATTCTTAAGAAGCTTTTGCTGATAATTTTTAAATCACACATGTTTAGAGGATATATCTTATAAAAAGCACTTTTTCTTGTCTGTTTTTAACACAAATTTCACTCTTTACCATCATTGTGACTGTAGTAGTCTTCCTCATTTCTTGTCTTTCTGGGAGGAAACTCGGTTTGGTCAACAGCTTGGTGCTCTATTGTGACTTTAGCAATGCTGGTATTTTGTCTTTGTTTATATCCTTTCATCATCTTACAATTTTTTTTTAATATATAATGTTTTTATACACTTAAGATCAGCTTATGCCTGTTATTTTCCTTTTACAGCACTTCTCAGTAGCTTACTGCAAATATAATCGAAAAAGTATATAAGCACGTGGTCATGAGACTGATTTTTTTGTGATGATTGTTGCTGGCAGTGTTGCTGTGAGTTGCTATGTGACTTCAGGAGTGCCAACAGCTGCTCTTGTGTTAGTTTTTTGTTTTTTTTTTTATAATTAGGATTAACCTAGTGAATGAGAACTTTTTTTTGCCAGTAGTTCTGTCACAATACAAGTACATTCTTAAAGCTATTTATTTTATAAGAGGAAAAAACAGTGTGTAGGAGGGGTAAAAAAAAAAAAAAAAAGAAAAAAGTTTACGCTCTACTTGAAAGATTGATCTAGAAGTAGATTGTTTACCTGATCTAAAAGAATCTCAAAAATGAATGATTTGATCCCTGTTTAGTCTTCAAAGAGGTTCCTTTCACGAGACCATTATGAAGCACAGGGGGCTAGAGCATATGACATTAGAGGGTCAGAGGATATGTTTTGTTCATCTTTAAGAGAAGGATAGGGAAGGATCTTCAGTTCTCTTCTACCTTAAGTCTTGTGGAGAAGGTGAAGATATATTCTTCTGGATACATGCGATGGAAGGACAGAAAGCAAGAACCACGTAAGAAAAAGGGAGACATAAAGGAAATACCTTATACTTTGCTTTAGTTTCCTCAGAATGACTGCCTCTCAACGCGGACTTGTGAAACAACTTTTTGAAGCTTTTTGATAACTGGAAAAATGGTCACAGGGTGCAATGTATGCAGTTATGCTATGAGCACAGGGTCAGTTTTGGAAAAAGTGACTCATGATTCAGCTTCACTTGGAAGCTTCTGGAAGAGGATAATGTTTCAAAATGGCTGGAAAGTGTCAGGGGAGCTTTGGAACATGAAAAATGTTTTTAAAAAAATTAAACATTTATACCAATAATGATGTAAGCTTAAGGCTATTGTACAGAAATATTTCTAGACAGCTTATTTCTTTGTTGTGAGTTAATGTTAACGCATGCTTTCTGGCTTGTGAAGGTGATATTCTGTTTGGTTGATTTGCTCTATTTCAGAAAAAGACAGGCTTTTAGTTCCAAATGCATTTTTCTGGCATCCAGATTTCTGTCTTTACCATTTGTATTAACAAAAAGTTTATGGACTTCTTTTGAGGTAGTACAATAAGCCATTCCACTCGTGGCAATGCTCTTAGAGTGATGTCCATTCAAATAGCAAAGACTAAAGTAGCTGTGGGGACTTGCCCATGTAATACTGATTGCTAGTAAACATGTGCAAATTACAAAAGTAAAATGAGTTCTTTGCTGAATGTTGCATTAGTGATATTGAAAATTATTTGGGATAAGATGAAAATTATCTCCTGCAAGAAGTTTTTGTTCTTTATAGGGTATTATCTCTCTACACACAGTCTTTCTGATCTGTGTCTGTAATACTGTGCTGTGCCTAGATTTGAATAGTAAATCTGTGGCCAGAAGAAGCCAGTGCCATATATATCCAGTAAATATTGCAAAATACTCACGGTTGTTTATTATGTAGCAAAATAAAGCCTCTATAAATATTTTGCAGAGGCAGAGTAGGATTACTGTGTATTTACAGTGTGAAGATCTGCTGTACTTCTACAGAAATTGTTACACTGAAGTTTACTTGTGCTTTTTTTATGTATTATGCTATATCTGTAGTTTCATATTGCAGTGTAGCAAGGATTTTTTCCAGCATTTCATCAAATCAGCTCATTATCAAGTCTGTCTATTGATACAGTCAAGATAGCGTGAAGTTATATTTAAATTACCAACTAATCATTTTAAGAAGTGTTTTTATATTGCAAGTAACATCTTACAGTATACTTACGTCTAATACCTTGACTATTACTATTCAATTATTTCATAAACTAAGACATGCTTATTGGAGCAGCTACTTTACACTGGCAACAAGAACTCTAGAAATGTAGTTTTAAGTTAGTGAAACAACTAAAATCAAGTTGAATGGTTATTAAATATACATAATCTCTTCCAGTAGGATGCTGTTCTGTTTCAAACGAAGTTTTCTGCATTATAACACGGAAATATCATTTTAAGGTATCTGTAGGTGTTTGCCACATCACTGGAAGTAAATGGCATGTGCTATGTTCTTATCTTTAATAGTTTTAAAAATAATTCAGATCAACACACTTGAAAGTGTATCTTTTTGTAGAATACAGAGAGGATATTGCTTATTGTCAGTGCTCAAGTCTTTCACTTTGCTTCTGGTAAAGAAGAAAATGTGGAGTCAGAACTTGGGGTATTGTGTTGAAAACTGATCTTAGTGTGCATACACAGTTAAATGAGCAGCTCACAAAAGAAATGAATTTGGTTATTCTGACTGCCCTAGCTTTCCCAATTAATGGGTTACCTTATTGAAAATTTTGTTTGTGTATATGTTCTCCTAGTTCTTTCAAAATGTATATTGGTGGCTCCACTCAGAGTGAAAATGGTCATGTGCATAGTTGAGTACTGGATTGATCTGATCATGTTACTTGAATATTCTGTCTCTGTCAGTGTCTGGGTTGGTAACTGAAATTCAGAGCTTTTTAGCAGTTAAGCTTGCTTTTCTAAATGAGAAAGCACATCTAACAGTGTTAGTTTTCCAAAAATTCTGTTGGCAATGGACTAGTAAATTCAAACTTCAAGAAGGTGGACTTTTTCTGTCAGAAATGAGGAACATCTTACATCTGTAAATTTGGGAGCAGTGAACTGCTAGTTTGTTTGCTTGCCTTTTCTTTCCTTATTTGAAAGCTGAGTTGCCAGAGACAGGGCCGTTTTGGTGTCATTTTCCTGCTATTTAAAAGCTTCTGGTGAAAATTTACTCCATTTAGGGGTGTTCATCTTTCCTTGAAATTACTAACATTTAATTTCAGAAATATGCAGAATAGACATTTATGAATGAAAACAATCCAAATAATAGCTGACATTTCTGAAGTTTCTATACATTTATTGCAGTAAAACCAGAGTTTCATTCAATGTGAGATTCAATTAACCAAAAATTTCACTTTATGTAAATTCCATTTTGCTGTAATACATACTTGTCAGCAATATGAAAACACATTCTTGTTTTATTTTTTATGAGGAATTTTCATCTAAGATGAGTTAAGAGTTTTCTATGTATATAGCTGAAACATAAAACTAATTTGGTAAACAAGAAAACAGTTCAGTGTACCAAAGGATTCCCTTCCTGGAACTTCATCCTCTTGCGTCCCTTTTGCTGCCTTATCCAATGTATTTACAATTGATTGGTCAAAATACTTTACAGAAGAAAAAAATATATCTAAGGACTTGGTGAAAATCATTGCTAATCAGCAAAGAGTTTTAAATTAAGTCCTAAAGTGCTTTCTTGTGATGTATGGTTTCCTCAAAATGGCCAGATCTTTTCTTATGAGTCAGTCCTGAGGTTTCTTCATGAGACTTCAGAAATAGCTGAGGTGCAAAGTGAGAGTGATGTGAGAAGCAGAAATTGTGATCAAGAACTGTTTAGGCTTTGCTAATAAATTTGTATTGATCAAGAGGTATGTTGTACTAACCTTGTTTCATGGAGTTTGCATCTTTCTACATCAAGGCTTGCACCTGCTGTGGAAAAAGTTCCTTCCCAGCGCTGCAGTGACTGTCTTTGTGGACCCAACTCTCACATATAGTTGGGCTTTCCTGTCTATTTAAGAGAAAGTTGATATAAGGAAATAATAGTAAGGAAATAAACTTTTATGTGAGAATAGTGTAGTAGTAAAATCCTTTTCTGAACAGCTGGCTGTGCATGAGTTTTGTACGTACTTGTTTTTTTGTGCTGCAAAGCCCAGTGAGCAAAAAGATGACTTGCCTATGCTCTGTTATTTTGTTTTACAGGAAAAAGCTCAGTGTTTGCAGAAGGCTTTTGCTTCCCAGGCAGATAAATCCACACAGACAGAACTTTTTGGCCATGATGTAAGTACCTGCATTGAGTAGTACTGTTTTTTAATCATCTTTATGGGTGTTCAAAGTTCTATCAGCCTGTTTGCCTCTGCTGCTGTCATGTCCGTGCATTGATTTAATGGAATTTACTGGAACAACATTCATCCTGTGCTGTTAATTGATTCTCAAATGGCTTCTGCAACATGAGAATATAATTGCAACTACCTACTAGCATACCAATACTGTATTAATTTTATGCTTTGCAAACAGCTCATAATTAGTATAAGTGAATGTGGTGGGTATGTATTAGTAGATGGTAATTTTCTTCAGTATTGATGGTTATTTACATGTTTATTAACAAATTAATGACATTATTGCATTTATAATCACCATATGCTGTCTGAACATTATTTGCATTTTGGAAGATAATAGAATAAGTACACTTATGCTAAGTATTGTTAAAGCTCTTAAAGAACATCAGTCAAAATTCATCTTAGTGAATTGATTATTTTTTTTTTCTCTCTCATGAGGAACATAGTAGAAAATGGTTTTTGTCTGTTTTTTAAATTTTATAATAGATCTCTTTTTATTGACATATCAGTTGAACATAAGTGATAGATTTGCTTCCTTACGTGAGCTTTCTTAAATAATCTGAGATTAAGTATGCCACGATATTTAATGTTTAGGATGCTTTTCTGTTCTATCATTTGGGCTTAGCAAACACTGTTCAGCAAGCTCAGCCTGTGTTTCTGCATGCAGCTTCCAATTTATGAAGCATTATTGGAGCATTCAAGTTTTTGTCTTCCAGCATTTCAGATAGTCTTGGGAAGACAGGAATATACATGTTTTAAATTTTAAGAAAAGAAGTTCTTAAAGTCAACTACTTTTTAAGAAGTCTTTAAAATTGATTCAAACCAGGAGTATTTTTTTTATATTTAACAAGTTACTTAGGAAAAAAAAAAATTTTTTGTGTATTTCTTTTAACACAGGTTTTTTGTTTTCCATACAGTACTTTTTATGTAGGTCAAATTTGTCACTGTTTTAGTTGATGTTTATCTGTCTCCGCTGAATTCTTGGGCATCTGTTGCAGAATATGAGCCTGTATGCTCTGTAGTGTTTGTGAGATGGTAACAGTGCTTTTGGGCATGTTGAAACTGTGAGGTGTATTTACTGGTGGTGAAAATCGTATAATATTCAAAAATCTTACACTTACTATTTAATGGTACAATACTTTTTTTTTCTTTCTGATGGGACTAATTGTCCTTAATAAGTATGTGATTACCTAGAGCTTAGATTTTAAGTTTTCCATGAGAAATAAGAATAAACTTTTTGTAGGATACTTTTTTTAAACAGCTATGTTTTGTATGTATGGTTGTGCTTCCTGACCCAAACCAAGTCTGTGATATTTTATGTTGCTGCTGTTAACCATGCTCTTAATTGCATTTTTCAAACTTCTTGGTTAAAATGCCTCTATTGTGTTATGATTGAGATCATACATTTACTTACATGAAGTACTATAATGCAAGAGTGAAAGGAGATTTGAAATAGTTTTGCATGAAACAGCACATCCACCTATGATTTTACTTGTAAAAATTGTGTTACAAGGAGTAGATTACAGAGAAAGTTGAAGCAATCTGAAGGAAGAAGCTGTTGTTAATATGATAATCATGAAGGGAATTCAAGCCATGGAAGAATTAAGAAGAATGTGCAAATAAATAGTGTAACATTTTTCCTACTGCTAGTGTTTAAAAATTTTTGCTCATTCATTCATATTAGTTCATGTAGCTTGTCTTCAACGGATGGCTGTAACGGATGGCAGCCATCCGTTGAAGACAAGCTACATGAACTAATGAATGAACAACTAGTTCAGCTGTGTTCTCATTTTAGCCCCATGGCAGTTAAATTGATATTCTTTACTTGTAAATGAGATTTTTTCAATAGCAAAAGTTGTAACCCTGGCGAGTGATATCAGCACATCGTTTTATCCGGGATTTCTGTAAGTATATGTAACTGCAAAAATGTGTATGCTGTGCTAATGTGAAATTCCGCTAAGTAGTCCATCACAAAACAAGCAAGAGAATGCAAGATGCCATGTTCACCCCCCTTGGTCACATTCTGAGAATGACATATGTCGAATATTTAAGGTATCTACCTGAATGGCTAAGCAGAAAATTTAATTCCCTCCTCACTTCAGACTCACTACTGTAAAGAAGGAAAAAAAAAAAAGGAGAAAAAGTTGCCATTTTAATCATTCAAATATCTTCAAAAGCTAGCAATAGGCGGGTAAATGTGTTATCAGAAAATTGCTTATAATTATTTCACTCATATTTTAAGTAAAAAATGTACTTCTGACTGTAGTTTTTCTGCAGTCCTTAAGTTAGTGTTTCTGAGAAGAGTTTGTTTTGCTTTCTTTTCTTATTAATTTGTTTCCCTGTATAAACAGTTTTTGTGTTAGTTCTTGTTTTTTTTCCTGTGAACTCTGTTTCTGAGAGTAGTCTTAGATTTCAACAGAAGAATCTTTACTACCTTTTCTTCTAGTGTTTTATGATGCCTGATAAATTATTTCATTTTACATTTCTTGCTTAATTTGCAACATTAATTGTTTGACCCTTCCATCTGATGCAGTTACGTTAAATTAACATCAGTAATGTACATAGTTGCCAAATATGTTGTAGAGAAAAAGTATGTATACTTGTACAGCAAGAACGTAGAAGAGATATTGTCTGTGTCTATTGTTCGTAGTGTCATTTGTGGTGGGTTTTTTTTTTTTTTTTGGATGAAGAATGCTCTAAAGTGGAAGAGAGGGTGACAGAATGAGAACTGTTAAGCTGCAAAAGAAAGCAGTGCATTATTTTGCTTGACTTCCGGGTAATGTATTCTGTAGTTAAGAGAGATGAGTCTTAAATCTTTGAATTTATGCCTCTTTGTCATGAATAGTGGAACTACTTTTTTTGAAAGAAACGAAGAGTGAATCCTTGGGGTATACAGTAACCAACACAGAGGAAGAGAGGAACTAGTCTAGTTCTTGGAACTAGTTCTTGGAAGGGATGGGTGAATAATAAAGAATTGCAGTTTTTAAAGGGAAGTAATGTTTTCTGTCTGTCCAACTACTCTGAGAAAGTCATGAGAGTTTTACCTTTGATAAGTATCTGAGAGGTTACCAGAGTGGAAATGACTGAATTTTAACTTGGTGAATGTATAGCATAAGTGGAGTCAGATTCTGGCTTTCAAGGTAATCAGCTAAGTAGATGTTTTCTACTTAATAATGGAGTTAAAAAATGAAGTTTAAAGTTTTGATTAGGGAGACAAAAGCCTTTGAAGATGGCAAGTGCCAGTTTCATCAAGTGATTAACATTACCACTTTTGCTACTTGACTACTCCAAAAGTTAAGTATCAGGCCAACTGCTATGTGTCCTGAGTGAAGATGTTAAAAAGTAATCCAGGTTTCTTAGAAAGTTATTTACTACTGCAGAAAGTCGTGGTATCTCCACCTAAAATTACTGCCTTCAAATGTGTATTAAGAATCATGAACTTAAAAAGTAATTTGGGTTCTGGGACTGAAACTGGGAGTGGCAGTGCGGAAGTGAGACAGGCTTTCATAAACCATTTTATTTCCTATTCTGTAGTGGTGCTCAATTAGTATGAATAATCTTCAGTACTGATTTGTAGAATACAACATGGCTACTAGCTGCTGGTATAAACACAGTTCAGTTTAAGTAACTGTAGTAAAATGTGGATTGTATACAACAGCGGAGTTTACTTGTAGACTAAAATCAGTCTAATACTAGAGTGTCCATATCTTTTAAAAAATAATCTTTCTGTAAGACATATCTAATAGTTGTAGTGTCTTTCTTACCTTTTTAGTTCTCCCTCTAACTACTTATTCTGTATTTCTCTGTCATGTCATAAGCTTATTCTGTCTTCACATTTGCAGTCATGCTGTTATCTTTTGAAGTACAGCAAAATAGAAGGTAGTAGTGACAGCAAGTCGGGTCAGTACTCATACAGATTTTGTGTATCTCAGGGTAAGGAAGAAAGGGGAAAAGGTGGAGATGTGTAGTTATTATCATTTATTTGTCCTCATTATTTTATTTTATTTTTGAAGATAACACTTCGACAGTTTTATCTGCTTTAGTACCATCACTGCCTTCTTCTTGGATTACTCCATGAGTTTACTTATTCACTTAAGCATATGACTCCATCTTTTGAGACATTTTGTCTTTCTTTTGTTGTTTCCTTTAATTTCTGTGTAATGCTTTTTAATGAGCGTGACTTAACATAATTATTTTCTAACAGTATTTGACCACACCACAGTTGCCTTGTGTCTACTGCAAAGGTGCTGCCAGGCAGTGTATCACACCTATAAATATTAAATAAATAAGCATTTGTCCCTAAAATTAGTAGCGTATTCTTAGCATACATTCCCTTTTACATGTAGTACTAACAGATTATACTGTTCGTTTTTTTCTGTTTGTTTGTTTTTTGTTTTTTTAACCTTTTGAAATTTAAGAAGACATATTTGTCTCACTGAATTATACTTTACTGATTCTGTTTATGCTTGTTACTGAATACTTGGAGTATCTTGCCTGTAAGTCAAGAAATGTATTTGGGAATATCTCACCAGCACTGAAATCTTTTCATTTTGGTTCCTTTATGAATAATGAGTAGGCAAAATGAAAGGTAAAATTAGTAGAGAAAAGTTGATTTCAAAATTCAAAACATGAAAAGTAAATGAATTGAGTTTGTATTACATTGGATTCAACTTGACAGGAGTTCACCTACATAGATTTTTGTAATAGATTTTGAGCATGTTTCCATAACCTACACAAACACACACTCATACACATGAGTATCATATATATATATATATATAATATATATATATATTTATAATATTTATTTTATATATATATATATATGTATAATAAATATAGACTCAGTTTGAAGAAAAGACCAATAAGCAAACTTGAAAAATTAAATGTGGATAACTACTGTATTGTAAAGCAGTATAATTTAAACAACATATATTTTTT